CTGCTTGTCTCTTGCCTTGTTTTGCCTTCCGTCTGGCTAACTTCGTTACTGGAGTATGGGCAATTTTATGCATTTGACTTGCTTGCAGAATAACATAAAACCCTTCAGTTCTTGCATCTGCTGCTTTTTTTTAGGTTGCCTGGCCTAGACGTAATTTCCCTCTCGCTAGCAATGCAAATAGAGAGAGCCAAGTCGGTCAAAAACGGGAGACTAAAGTTAGGCTGATTCCATATTCAGACCTCTAAATAAGTGGCCCGGTTTTCCGTCGTGAGAGCAATCAGCAGCTTGCAGGCAAATCAGACCACTTGTTTAGAGGCAAAAACGCGGGCTCAGAATCCTAACTTTAGGCTCCCATTTTTGAAAGTCTTTTTCAGCTAGACTAGCTGGGTGAAATGAGCTCTGCCTAGCTAGCTAGTCAAGTGCTCTCTAGAACCCTCAGAGGATGTAGGATCGCATTATTGAATTGGACTGCGCAACCCTCTCCAGTCAATTAAAAGGGGGAGGCTGTCAAGGAGGGTGGGCCCCAAATATGGTGTTTCCCCAAGAAGTGTTACAAACATCGTTGGCAAATGCCTAAAACAGACAGACAGTCTAGCCAGGATTGTGCCGCAGAGCCCGGATCACTGACCCTGAGGGGGTGTCTGCACTGGAGCTGCTGGCAGTGATGGAGCTCGCGTGCTGACAAGGGACGTATGCCTGCAGCGGTGAGAACGGTGGGGCAGGCTGGCCACTTGAGTATGCACCTAGGATTTCAGACGGGATCCGATTCGGGTTGGCCAGCCCTGCCTGCTGCTCGCGCCACAGCAGCTACACTGTTATTTTCAGCGCGCTAGCTTGATTACATATGTCTAGGTGAGCTGGAAATTACGTCTTCCAGTGTAGACACACCCTGAGAATGCCGGCACTCTGGGCCAACACACTGTCTGTACACAGAGCAGTGACATTCCACAAGGCCGGCAAATCAAAACCGAAGTTGACAACCTTCACCCAAGACCTGATCTGATGGACTTTTCTCCTGAGCCAGCCGGGGGAACGATACTAACAAACGCTGCTCCCAGAGCTCAGCTGAGAGTTGGCCTGACCCTCTGTGTATCGAAGCCAGTGGACGCCTTCCTGCGGAGTTCAGTGAGAGTCGGATCAGACTCATTATTATGGCAGAGCACGGGACTGAATCCAGATGTCCCAAACCTCAGTCCAGTGGCCTTTTATCATTCATTATTTGTATTACTGAAGTACCTAGGAGCCCCAGTAACGGACCAGGGCCACCATTCTGCTAGGCATGTACAAACACAGAACAAAAAAAATGTTCCCTCCCCATAACCACACCCCCCCCCACCACACAGCTTCAGCTTCAGCTTCGTTTTCTAAGCTACCTGAACAGTTCTCAGTACTCACCTTCTCTCCTTTGTTGCCAGGAGTACCTGCAGAACCCCTGAGGCAGAGCTGAGGTCTTCCTCTTCTACCTCTTGCACCCTAAAAAATATAGCAAAAAGGATCATTGTATTCTAAGTGATTGGCCAACTTCCACAGATGCCTTTGAATTCATTCTATATTTCTGGGTGTGCCCCCCCCCCCCAATCCTATTCTCG